GGACCGTACTAACCTGTAGGCACAACGACTGCGACCGCCGATCTAGCACGCCGGCGGCCAGAGGGTGCAGGGCCAACAGGGGCAGCCCCCTACTAATATAACTAATGATGGATACACCTAATAAGATAAGTAGCTTCGGAGCCCTCTTTCTGGGAGGGTCGGACTCCAAAGAACCCAGATCCGTCAGGCGGGAGCGGTGCGCGTCCCGTCGGTCGCTATCCATGAACAGCACCAAAAATGCGAACAAGAAACTGGATCGGACATTTTGGATTAAGACAACGGATATACTCAGACTTCGAGGAGGTGGCATCTCCAATGACGAGGACGATGATGACGACAATGATGGCACAAACGCCAGCAGCAGTGGTGGAATGGTCACAGACGAAAGCCCGCCCCACAAACGCGGACCCCCGAGCCCTCTAATGGCAGCACAGACAAAGAGAAAGCCTGTCGGGGCCGTTTCGGGTATGGCAAAAGAGGTCAATACTCACTTCGGGTGGCTAGAGCAGTTTGCTCACACTGAGAGGGCCAGAAAACTGACTGTGGCAGGATCAGAGGGCATTGTCGAAATAACTAAAGCACTAAGCGACATCTTCCAAGACCTTTGCTTGGAGGTCAGTAGACTCAGTGGCAAGGTACAGCTGACCCAAGAACAGCTCAGATCCATGCTGACCACCTACAGTGACTCACTGCTAGAAAAGTCAGCAGAAATTGGCAGGCTCCAAGTCAAAAACAATGAGCTAAGAGCCGAAATTCAGGGAAGAGTACGTGCCGACGAGCTGTCTGAGGGGCAGGAAGTTCCCGACAAACCCAAAACTACCCCTCCATACCAGAGCAAGTCTACACTACCGACATATGCCAGAAAACCAAAAATGGACCCTAAACCTGGTCAGCCTACGGGGGATACAAAGAATGTGTCTAAGAAAGTGACCATTAAAAAGACCCTCACCAGGTGTCGAGAAGTTAAGACCGCCTCAAGGCTCACCTTCGAAGTGCCTAGTAACGTCAACATGACAGCGGCGAAAGCCGAGCTATGGGTGACGGTCAAGGAAAAGATGAAGAACCCTAGAGCCAGGACCGTGATAAACGGCTCACGGATAATTATAATCCCTGATGACGGGAATACGTTGGAGGTGGTAAGCAGCTTACCCAACGTTAAGGTAACAGGCCCCAAGCAACCGAGAGTCATCATATACGATGTTGACTCTGAATTAAAAGAGGATGAGATTATTACTGGGCTAGCGGAGCAGAATCCGGAATTGGGTCTTACCCAGAGGGACATAGATATAATAGTGGCAAAACACAAGTTGGGCCCAAGGGACAGCATGACCACCCATTGGGTGCTTGAAGTTCCAGCTAGCACACTGCCTAAGCTAGAAGGAGAACAAGTATTTTTGGGGCTAACCAGATGTAAGATTAAACTACACCAAAGCGTTCCGCAATGTTTTCACTGCCAGGAGTATGGGCACACTACCGCGAAATGCGTACAAGAACTGCCAAAGTGCAGACATTGTGCAGATTTGCACGACAGTAGAACATGTAAAGAGCCCCAGAAAGCGGTTTGCACTAACTGCAGAGGAGATCACAAGGCGTYGAGTGYTGCCTGTACGCACAGAATTAGGGCAATTAAAAGCCTTTTAACACGCACAGACTTTGGCCCGAAATGAAAAATAAAATAAAAATACTTCAAGTCAACCTAAACGGTCAGCTGATTGCGGCAGAACAAATATGAGACTGATGTATCAAGGAAAATATAGACCTAGTCTTAACGCAAGAACCACCAACAAATGGAAACAGCCTAGTAACAAATTTTGAAACATGCCAGCAGGTGTCGGACTCTGACAATCCTGGTGCGGTTATCATAATCGCCAATAATAGGGTAAGATGCATAAAGATAGCGCAACGCACATCCCAATATGTGGCTGCAGCCAAAGTAAGCTTAGATGGCAGGGAAGAATCCAGTGTGGTCCTGGTCTCAGCGAACTTTAAGTACAGCAAACCCACCAACGACTTCACCGAAATCATACGCTTTATCGCCCAGGAACACAGATCCCTATTGATATGCGCAGACAGCAACGGACACTCCTCACACTGGCATAACCCGGATACGAATGCTAGGGGCAGAATCGTAGAGGAGACGATTGATGACCTCCTGCTGAACATACATAATGTCCCAGCACCCACACCGACATACGAACGGGCACATATGGGTTCGTCCAATATAGACCTAACCTTGACCAAGGCCAACCTAAGAAAGAAAATTTGTAACCGGACTGTCACGGACGATACTGACAGTGACCACAACACTATWAGCTYTGAGCTATGCGTAAGTACGTACCACCCTAGAATGAAAACAGAAGCATCATTTAACGTCAGAAAGGCAGATTGGTCTAAATTCCGAAGTACGTTAATACAATACAATCAACTAGCCAACAATGATGATGACGCTAGTAGTATGAAATAGCCGATTCTGATACCTCAACCCTCATCCCTCATCCCTGAGCCAACTGAGCCTCATCCCTCATCCCGCCTCCCACATCCCGCGTACGTGTGCGACGTGTATTTTCTCCCCACCACCCTTATCCTCATCACGCAGCTACGTACGTGTGCGTTATTGTTATCATATTATTGACTGAGCCAACTGAGCCAACTGAGCCTGATACCTCAACCCTCAACCCTCAACCCGCACCCTCAACCCCAACTGAGCCAACTGAGCCTCATCCCGCATCCTGCATCCCGCACACGCACCCGCCACCGCCACCACCGCCACCGCCACCGCCGCCGTATATTTCCTGCCATTAGGATTATTCGATATTAAAATACCTATTAGTGAATAACTTAGTAATGACCGATTTAGTCCACATCAATTAATTACATTATACCATTATAATTGAAAAATGTCCCCACCTATTATAGAGACTCCTGACTGAAAGAGCCGTTTAGTCCGTCTGCTGCGTTACACCGCTGTGCACGTATTTTTTCTCTCCAAGTCTTTAAAATTTTTAGTGAGTGTTATTTTCAAAAATAATTTTAATCATGGCTGGTTCAATTGGAAACATGGCTGCAGTGTCCAAGAAGAATTTCACATATGTTCCACCATCACCACCGGCTGATCTCATCGAAACTACATGCTACACACTGGATTTTGCGAACCGTAAATGTGTGCATATCCGTATTGATTCGAGCGAAAATTACGAAGTCGTTGTAAATATATTAACTTCATCACGTCACGTTAAAATATTGCCTGATTTTCTCCGGCGTATATTTTCTATGATGGRGCATATCTTGTCRTACATATTAGATGTACCRCAGAAATACAAGCGCACGATATTTCTTGAGACAGAATTTTATAAAATATCCAGCATGATGTATTGCGGGGAAAATGTGCTAGTGATTGAGTCAAAAACCGAAAGCGGATGCAGGGTACTCTTGAATCGGGTGGACCTTATTCGTCTTCAATATTTCGAATGTTGTATTTTCGAAAGTATCGTAAGAAATCAATATACACTGCTCAATTAGTTATAGAACAGACTGATGAGTTTGCGACATACCTACGTGAGAAATACAATCTCTTTAAATCGTCACCGAAAAATTTAGAAGAGATGATAGTATACGTTAAGAACGCGCAAGACGAACAAATGGACAAATCTTTTCCAAACTTAACCGGTCAAATACAAATGTTCGCAGCYAAACAACTAGCAGCATCTTTGCTAAATCGGKCGACACACGAGGWAATTMATAAATTTAATATATTATATTAAAATATTTAATACCATTTTWTTTWTTTTTWTTTTAGTCGCAGAATGGAGAAATAGAWTCCCCAATGTCMCCAAGCATTACGAATATATTCGGCATGCACGATGACCCGCTTACATACGCTACTCTTAGCCCGTTAGATGTAATTTATATAATCATATTTTTTTAAATAAAAACATTATTTAATTGTAATTTTTTTTTTCAGCTAATAGATAATATTGAAGTGCCAGACGGGGTTGAGCAGTCGTTCGACGTAAACGATGGACCAGATTTTTTCAGGGCGCAATCACCATCTCAAGTCATTACGCCACCGCCATATCAATTACCATTCGCCGAACACCCAGCACCAGTGCRCAATGTTAAGCGGCRACTATTTTAATATTTGTTCATAAAACATAATTTATATGAAAATAAAATAAGCGTGATACTTAAAAYAAGTTTTTTTATTATTAGAAAATAATATTTACAAGGTATAAAAATAATTATTAGATATTTACAAGGTATATAAAAATAATACAAGGTTTACAATTTTCTAACATCTCCACTAAACGGATTGTAAGTTATAATCTGGTCATGTAGTATTAAACAATAAGCTGCAGTTTTTTCTGGAATAACTGTGTCCGTTTCAAAGTCTATTCGTAGGTCCAMRGTCGATRATTTCACGTTATCATTCTGGTACGACAAATCAACAACGACGATTGGCACATAGTTTTGAAAAATATGTTTTGATAACAATGGTTCGCAATAATCTCTTTCGTAATWCGATTTTTGAAAGTMTGTATAAGCTTTGTAGAGTATGCTAGTGGTATTATTTTTAAAATCAGCTCGAAAGTCTTCATATGGATACACCTCGGAATTTAAGTGCACCTTAAGATTTTTTAGTTGACAGTGATSAAACCGCCCAGCGTCRGTTTCGATATWRTTTTTTCTACTTGTTTGTAATCCAAACAAAACAAACCTTGGTTTTTCCAGTAAGCTGCTAGACTGAACAGTCTACGAATGAGAAGTGTTTCTAGGGAGCACCGGATATTCGCATAGATCCCAGGTCCTGAACGCGCACGACAGTGTTTTACGAGAATCTAATACTTTCAATAACTTTAATTTTTCTGTATCACTGACTTTGATAATAGGCATCTTCCAAGTTACCTAGTCAGTTCAATTGTAATTTTTTTTTTTTTTATCAACGGCAGCGGTTGCGCCTTCGCCCACAACATGTATCGCATCAAGGTCGGTAGATGCGTGATTTAAAATTGATTGCAATTGAGTAATATCTTTTTGTAATCTTCACAAAATCCGAAAACATGTTTTAGAGGAATACACCCGGAAAATATATTATTGGTCATACAATTTTTGTTATCTTCACTATCCATTTCCGAGTCCCAAGCCGCATTCTCTAACGCATTCAAATCGTTTGGAGTGTACGAGCAGTATGCTTTCAAATATGATGACACTCCGGGTGATTTCAATTTTTGTATTTCTATTCCGTTTATTTCATATCGCATCTCGGAGAATAAAAATRCCAATCCGTTATTTGAAAAACGAACTTCCCCCGCTGCATCGGCYGGTTTGTTAACTTTWCCCTCGATGWAAATATAACTCTCGCACGGCAAAGTGTAAGAATCCATGTYTTGAACATTAATTCTAATTTYCTCATTGTATGATAGAGCTGAGCTTGAATACGGCGTGAACGAATGGTTACTCTTTTGAGTTATTTTACAATCGTCGACATAGTCGGCCGTCACGTCTAAATATGACTCATCCATCWTTGTAAAGAACGAAGAAAATTTAAATTATTTTTCGTGAGCTTGATATTTTTCGGCTTAGATGTTGATTTCTTAATGGTGGGCGGTATACTGACGGGTTTTTTGATTGTAGCTCTTTCTATATTAAATTTGAGTGCCATATCCACGGGTTATTTGTAAACGAACAGTTATTGGCTCACCGCGTAGATTAATCAGACAATCGTTCTGATCTTTTAGCGCGATATTCACTTTAGTTATTGAAGTCGTATTGAGACCGTAAAAAACTGGATGCCTAGGTACCTCAACGATTTTATATCCGCAGGAACAGCAGGATAAAGCTCGTGTATGATCTGGCTCGGCGCTCCGTCACAGAATGATCCGGTGATTAAATTACCTACACTCTACTTTTATACAGTTTATTTTCATTATGCTGACAATATAATAAGATTCGTGAGTAGCGTCAGTAGTGTATAGCACATTTCTAAAACCTAGAAATTTCGCTATGCTATTCAAAACCCCTAAATCGACTTCATGACTACACGATATACTATACTTTAATGTTCTGCTGTTTGCTTTTAACTCAAAAAAACTGACATAGTCGGGCATCATGTTTTGTATAATAGACTCTAACTGATCCAACTCATAAGTGCCTGTAGGTATATTAACGTTCTCGTTATTATTGATTATATAACGAAATCCGATAGTATTACAACCAGGTTCTATGTTTGGTATAGAATTATTTGTCTGTAAACTCAAAAGACATATCTGTGCAGTATTTTCTACTTCCAACGGTAGAAAGATCTCGCACGACAATTCACTCGAGTTTCCGTTTAACGTTAATGTGAACATGATAAACGGACAAGTGTCCGCAGTTTGTAGTATTATATTTCTGCTCTCTGCTGTAATTGAAATGTATGTCGCATCCGTGAAAATATTGTTGTACTTCTAATGGTGGAGGTAAATTTCCAAAGYTATCAAAGTATTCGACTTTTTTTCCGATTTTTTATACGCTACCCAATGTGTTCCTGTATCGCTTTCAGCGTCCAAGTTAACAATCGCCGATTCTTGACGTTTAGGGCGGCCGCACACGGGCAACTTTTTGCTGTCGCAACTGTTTTGTCTTTTCCGCAAATTCCACTAAGTCAAATGTAGTCCCGCACACAGAGCAACGCAACTTTTTAATTGCTCGACCCGCCGACAGAAGGGCGACGAAACTGTCTCCGTGTAGTTTCCTCGTCTATAGTTTGGTATCTACGTGCGCACACGGGCGACAATATAGTTGCCGTTTCATTTTTTCAGTGACGTCCGAGCAAGTCAAATAGATTTTTTTTAGTACAAAATGGCCACAGTAGCTTGTCCTCGAGATGAAGACATTGACAGTGAATCGTTAATAATTGAAATAGAAAAGAGACCAGCATTGTTCAATAAAAATTTAAAAGATTATTCAGATGCTAATTTAAAAAGTAAACTATGGGAAGAAGTGTGCTTAAATGTGCTGGGTACGACCTGGGGACAACTCAATGCAGAACAAAAAAAACAAGCAGGTTCGTACTTTTATATCTTGTAAACGTATGAGTAGAAGTAATTGTGCTAGAAATATATATAATATAAGTATACAAATTACAAAACTAATATAAATGTTCAATATACAATATATATTGATAAGCTAGCTGCACGTGGGCGTCGTTAAGATAAACGTACAGCTTATCTTAACTGCGACCGTAMGTGTGGGCCGCGGTATTTTTTTTGACGTTATTTTTTATGACGTTCGGATAATAATAAATAGAGCATGGATTTATATTATCTTAAAAATTTTATTCTCTACAAATATTAGTAATATTTATAAAAATATAACAGGTGTTCCAATGTCGTTTACCGTATTAGTATTAATAGTAAAATAATATTAACAAGGTATTATAATTTTATTAATATTATTAAGACATTATTTATTGTTAAAAAAAATTGAATATGTACTCGTATATTAAATATATAATTATTAAATTTATTATTAACATCAGAGTTCATTGTACTACCATGGAACAGATCCTTGAGGGGATGTAAAATAGGTTGCAAAATAGTTACGTATATTGGTAGCAGATATAGTTCTATCGTGGGGTTCAATGTTCACACTCTGCAGTGGGCATTCATAAGCTGTGTCTGTAAAATTAATTCCATCTCTTTTGCGTACAAAATTATGGAGCACACAGCATGATTTGATTATCGTAACAATATATAACATATGTAACCGCCTTTCTTGGTTGGGCTGGAACTGCCGACGACGAGATGAACGATAATGATGTATGGCACCGGAACTGATGACAAACAATATCGTTGTTGTAATTGACGGAGCCAGAGCTGGTCACCAAATCAACTAGCGCACGGKAGCCGAAACTGGCCGTAGATATCACCCGTCGCAATACACGGGGTCAAAGCTGACCGTGGAGATCATCCACTCACCGTTGCAAACAATCAAAAATAATAGAAATCCGACAAAAACGTGAAGGATCACACGTGTTTTCTTYAGCTCGAAAAATAATAATTAATATCAACAACAACGAACGAGCGGTAACGCCGGGAGCGTAACAACAACGACARTGTTGCMAGGTCAAATTTGCAAATGTTTCGATTTCATTCGATTTTTACCCAGTTTAAGCAGTTGTTGATGAATACAGACTTTTCAGTATGTGATAACTTACATATAGAATTGTTTCTAATTAGAGCCATACATTTTCCTCCAATATAAATGTCTTCAGGTTTTACAAAATTTTCAGGTACTCTGTACTGCACTTTTTCTAGATCAGTAGTTCTTAGATAATCAGGTTTTATGTAACATTCCAATATAGTTTTGTACGTCATAGACATTTTAGAGTATAGTTTATGAATTTGAGGCTGTTCATTTTGAAATAAGATATTTAAGGAGGTCATCAATGGTAAAACAAAATCTAAAAAACTCATATAAAGTTCAAAATGAGGATCATTAATATATTTGAAAATTTCATTTGCTTTATTATCATTGTTTTCGCTTTGAAAATATAACTTAAGTGCTGGCAATTGTTCTAATATTCTTTGAATGCATACATGTAAAGACAACCATCTTGTCTGACATGG